GTGAGTTATTGTGCAATTAATTGCATATATAGGTGATTCTGTCTAGGAAATTGGTACTTAAGCAGGCCAGTGTGCCTCACTGACAGGTGCCGAACCTGTGCAATAATAATAAATAAATAAATCCTAACTACCACCTGAAACAGTCAGTAATCAATTCGAGTACTGGAGCAGGGACTCTAGGTGTGCAATGTGTTACTTGATTCACCCTGTTCCCGAAGAGTTTGCTTAATCCGATATACCTGAATTAATTATTTAACTGAATTCCCTAACTAGTAGACAGTGGTAAGCAGGGTCGTCTCCTCAGGGACTAGCAAGATATTTTGTTTCTTTTCAAATCAAGATTAATGGGGGGTTTTGGTATCAAATGCCAACTAAACAAATTAAATGCAGAAAATAATTAATTAAAAGAAATAACTAAGAGAAACTCTAGCCAAGGGTACACTTCAGAAATGGTTCATGCAACTGATCATCGATTCAAATATAATTCCAACATTTACTAATAGATTGGTTATAGTTGTCTCGCACGCGCTAAACAACCAACCCTTCCGTAATTTATCGATAGCTAAGGTACGACCGTTAGCTATTTCTCTAACCCAAAAACAACCCTAGGTACGACCGTAGGATTTAATTTCCAGATTGCATTAATAATTAGAAAGGCCCAATCCTAACCAATAAACACGCTACGAGGGTTTATTTAAGCTAGATCATATATTTCCCTGACATAAACCCAATTATACCAGTTGCTACTGGGATAGAGGTAACGAACAATTACGGATTCAATTACCCCTATTTAGCAAAATAGTCTCTATGAATAATTAATTATTACGCACTAATCAATCATACATAAGAACTATAACAATTAAGAGCAGGGAGTATATAAATACCAATAAACGGAGAAAATAATTAACAACGGCTTAGATCTCACAGTAATCGGTGAACCAATTCGTCAGTTGCCCCCTTGACTAGAATTAGGGGTTTAGCTCCTCATTAATGGAGAGTAGGCCGCACGTGGAGAATTGGGAAAAATCACCGTGTCTGACCTTTTACTTTTTGGTCAAGAGCAGAGAACAAGAGCAAGAAATTTGGATTTCCTGCAATTGTCCCCAAAAGCCCAAACGTACAAGAGTTAGATTGTTCACTTGGATTGCATTCAGCGAAAGTAAAAACCAAAGCCTTGATGAGTCAACAACGGCGGCTTTGTTTTCTTCCTTTGCTCTCACAAAAGAGACATACGAGAGAAAGCGTTCAATTGCTTCTTTTGTCTTCCAATTTCGGTCAACCCAATTCAATTCATAGACTGGAAAGTAGCAATTGCTCAAGTCAACAGAAAATGAAAAGCAATCCTAGAAAATGTCAACAATGGCGGCTTTTTTTCCTCTCTGATGCCGCCCCTCTCTGTTTCCTTTTTTTCCCCCAATTTTCAAGCAAAACGTAAGAAAGGAATAATTAACCTAAGCCTCCCTACGGAAGTCTAAATACTTCCCTCCGTTTGTGTCCGACATTTTCGGGAAGGGATTTTTCCCACAATTAAAACAAGACTTCCTCCAATAAAAATAAAATTAAAATAAAATCTATTACAATTAGATTTCTTCATCTCTCAAATGGGCCCCACGTGCGATGAATCTTCTAAAAGTTGAATTTAAGCACTTTTCAGCATTCATTCCTGCAATTAGCGCCCAAAACAAAATATCAGTAGAATCCACCCAATTAAGGAAAATATTTAGTCAATTAATTGTGCAATAATGCCCAAAATACCCACTAAAATGCATCCTATCACTCACCAAATATTTCCTAGGAATTACCATTTTGTAATTTTAGGTACAATAATTTACTCGTTATACCTTAATTTGGTAGAGCTTCCGCAACATGCCATGCTTTCTCGAGATGTTAAAGTTCTTGACATAAGGTGCCAGCAGTTCGTCGGTAGTCAAATTTTGCCCAATCAAATATTCATAAGAAAACTTTTGTGGTCTTGAAATTATCTGGACAAAGAATCAAACTACGTGAGCTGAATTTCTAGCCAAATCTCAAGGTCTTGCATCTGGATAACATGAACGTATTGGCTGGCAATGATGAAGGTTGGGAAATCTCTGAAAATGGCTACCCATTGCTTGAGGATTTACAGATTACTACAACGTTTATTGATCAGCTTGTATACTTTAGTATTAGACTTACTGCACTGATAAAATTGACATTGACTAATATCAAAGCCACAGGTCTGGCCGACGTTGTTGGATTTGATGCCTCAAATCTTCGTTATCTTGAGTGTGACTTTCATCGGGTCAGCGGGGGAAGTTTCGTTTATTCTGCACAGATTAGGGAAATTGGAATGGCAGAAGGATGGCCTTATTCGGTCACCAAAAAGTTGATCAATTTCCCAAGGTGCACCAGAAAATGTGAGCTTGAGCTTAATTGAAGGAAAAGTTTTGTGCCATAAACTTCTGTAGAAATTTTAAGCCAAGCATCATTAATTAGTGGCCTCGTGTATTTGTTAATTTTGTTTAATTGATTGACTATATAGGTGGATGATTGTGTTTCGTAGTGTGCAGCGGATGATTAATTCCTATGTTAGTATTAGCAGTGTTTGGAGTCTGAAGTAGTTTGTCTCGTGTCTCTTGGATATAAAAGTCAGTAGCCTCCGGTGGTTCTTTTTTTTTTTTTTTTGTACATTGTAAGAATTGTAGCTGCAGCCTTGTTTGATTAATTGAAGAAAATTTGCTTTGCCACATATATCAAATTCTCGTTATTGTTCCTGTAGGTTTATATTTGAGTATAAGTTTGGGTCCAACAACTTCTACAGATGCTCAAAAGTTGCAAACTTGAGCAAAGCAGATTCGGTTCTTCACTCTAGGGTTAATTTGATGTGGGAATAGTTTCTCTTTTTCTTTTTTTTTTCCCAATAAATTTGTATCTTTGAATTCTTGAAGATGTCACTAGAAATTAAGTACCTTTTTCCGTTGATTAGTTATCAGTTTTTCACGTTAGATGATTGTTACATATTATGCAGTGTCAGCTGAGTTGGTCCACTCAGATTTGCTATGCAATATCACTGTGTCATCTGTTGATTACCAGAAAATCTCCAAATCATAATCTTTCTAATCTAATTTCTTCTTAATTTATTGCCGAAGTGCTGCAGTTGATTTTGTACCATTATTGCTGCCACCTGATATTGGGGGTGTGGCATAAGGTACATATCAAAAAGCAAAAAAGATTTTGTGCCATTGCTTGTAGACAATGAGATTTTTAGCTTCATTGAAGAGACTAAAGAATTCTAGTTGTTTCCATGATTGGAATTCTAGGATGTAAGGTATTAGAGCTAAGTATTCCATAATAAACTTCTTGTAGGCTCTCTTGTTACTTTTTTACCATTCAGTAATTTTGTGAAGATATCCTGCTAACCAATGTTTTAGTTGTACTCGATCTAAACAAATCTATACAAAAAAAAAACACATTATTAACTTATTTTGTGAAGATATCCTGATAACCAATATTTCTTATACTATCAGCGTTGGATGACTGATAACTATGCAAAATTTGAGTTTGAAATTCAACAAATTCAACTGTTGCACACATGTCATGAATCCAACGATAATAGTGTAAACACCGTCAGTGTAGAAAAGATTTACTCATATTTTTATTATCTTATCACAATGGCTATTGGGTTTAGAGACCTCATGCTAGAATCCTAAACTATAATGTACTGGGTTTTTGATAGTATCTCCCGTGACATGGTAAGATGTAAGTGACGTTCAACTCTATAAATAAATTTGGGAAAAATGCATCGGTCTCTAATATTTGATTCATGTCTTAAATTGGTCTCTAATATTTCGATTCAAATAAATTTGGTCTCTAATATTTCTGATTTCGTGCAAATTTATGACAATTGATTGAAATTCCACAATCCTAATGGTCAATTCATTTTTCTGCTAGACAACAGTTTCGATTTCATGATTTTGGCCTCCCCATTAGGATTGCTGAATTTGTATCAGTTGTCCTAAGTTTGCATAAAATCAGAAACTATGGGGACCAAATTTATTTTAGTTGATGTATTAGGCACCAATTTGAATCAGAAGGCAAATTTTAGGGACTACAGCTGAATTTCTCCTGTTTTTTTCTATTAGAACAAATAGTTAAATAGGTACGATATTTGTCTTTGATTTATGTGAGACATAGTAGTTGCCGTTGATCAAATATACGAACGAGTATGTCTCAAATGTGGGTTTTTGATGGTTCAGTAAGTTTACTTGCAGCTTCTGTTATTACTTGTGATATAATAGTTGGATTAGTCTTTCTTAAATTCAGTGTGTAAAATCACGAATCCAACCTGGTAAAAAATATTTATAGTGGAAATAAACCTACGAAAACGAATTTAAGTTCAAAACGAAAATGTTTGAGCGTTACATTAGATTTGAGATGGAAATTAGTGAAAACAGAAACTTTCTTAACTTTCTTTTGCTGGAAGAGATATTTGACAAACACAGGTCGTGTTGTTCATGTCTTTTCCGTTTTCTTTAGTTACCGGAAAAATCATTGACAAAAGTGCCGTTTCATATCATCATTTTTTTGACCTTCTCTCTCTCTCTCTCTCCTTTCTTCTTTGTAAGTTCAAATCAGATCATCAGTGCCAGCCATTCTTTCTGGTTTCCTCATCGACAAATGTTTTTCTGAAGTTGATGACAACAAAAATGCCTCAAATCATTGTTCTGGCCTTACAATTAATTACCTTCTCCAGTAAAATTAGTTTGTTGGCATTTTCGTTCGTCCTTTTCTGTACATTGACGACGGTGAAGCACTGGCACCGTGCGATTGGAGATGCATGTTGATGGTAACCTTAGCGGTGGTATATTGACTATCGAGCATCGAGTCGGCCGTCCCCTTGCGTGCATGTACGTGCAATCATCAAAGTCCAAGTAGTAGAATTTTTTACTTGCGTGTTTGGATGTAATTGGATCCCTGAGACTGAGGCAGATGCTCTATAGAAGTTTGAAGACACCTGTAACATTAGCAATTTAGTTCTCATCGCAAGAATTCTACAAGAACGTCGCTTGCAGATGGTGAAGGGCTTTCCTCTGAGCCCCGCTTGGCTATAAAGATCACTTTCATCGGCACCAAGAAAGCATAGAATTTAGCTAAAAGCAAGAAAATGAGTGAGAAAGAGAGAGCACATTTTGTGCTCATTCATGGCGCTTGTCATGGGGCATGGTGCTGGTACAAGCTGGTGACACTGTTAAGATCCAACGGTTACAAAGTCACTGCCCTTGACATGGCAGCCTCTGGGGTCAATCCCAAACGACTGGAAGAGCTCAATTCCTTCTCTGATTATGCTGAGCCACTGATGGCATTCTTGGCGGATTTACCACCAGATGATAGAGTTATCCTGGTCGGTCACAGCATGGGAGGAGTGACCATATCTCTCGCCATGGAAAAGTTCCCCCAAAAGATTGCTGTTGCTGTTTTCCTCACTGCATTCACTCCTGCTCCTCATCTCCCCATTCGCACCATGACTGAAGAGGTACTGACTCCTCTTTACCACCAATAAAATAAACCCCTTCCAGGAACTGGTTACAGCTTGTTTGCTTTTCTGCAATTGATAGTCGACATCGCAATTACGTTCGCAGTATAATAGAAGATTGGATTCTACCATGGACATCCAACATGGGTTTGAGAACGGAGAAGACAAACCTCCTACCTCACTCCTCTTTGGCCCCAAGTTTTTGTCTACCAAATTGTATCAACTGTCCCCTCCGGAGGTTAGTGTTTTGTCAATTAACAGAAGATATTCTGTCAACTTTTCCTACTGCTTCATTCAGTATCCTCTCAGTCCGTCCTTCAAAAGAATTATCCAACCGCCGCTCTTGAATCTTGATACGGATGAAAACAGTAACAAATATTAGTATTATTGTCTCTCCTTAATATTTTATGAAGGGCAGAAGTTTTTTTTTTCTTCTTAAATTATCTTTTTAATTTGCGCATATTTAATGCTAATTCTGCTCTGGCCTCCATTTTCGTTTTCGGCTTTTGGGGCCACGGTGCCAAACGAGACAGGATTTGGCGCTGGCAACCTTTTTGGTCAGGCCCATAGCACTGTTTGCTGATGCAAATTTGTCAGAGGGCATCGCACTCACGGACGAAAATTACGGAGCTGTTCGTCGTGTTTATATTATTAGCGATAAAGACAACGTGATAAAGGAGGACTTGCAGAGATGGATGATTGAGAAGAATCCAGTCGAAGAAGTGGAGGAGATTTATAATTCGGATCATATGGTCATGTTATCCAGGCCATTAGAGTTATGCTCTTGTTTGGAACGGATTGCTGAGAAATTCGCCTGATGCTAATTGGCACCAGCTTTTTTTTTTTTGTGGTGGTGGACGAGATGGCATGATCTCCAAAGTTGGCCAACTCATAAATAAATTTGCATTGTGTTGGCCATTAGAGTTTTTTATCTATAAAGCAGAAACACTACGAGAAGTTGTTTCCAACATCCAACATCCAATCAGGGCAGGTTATTAGAACTAGCTTGCGTGCTGATCTGCGATCTGGTGCAGCACTTGACAAAGTTTCTGGGGCTTGGAAAGCATCGCCATGTGGTCTTTCAGACTAGTAAAAACAGTTAAAGATAAGTACAATAGTTGACACAACGTGAGAAGAATGTATTCAGTGGCTAACTTGTTATAGGGTTAAGTTACCATTCCTAATATTATTATTTAAGTTTATAAGATGAAACTAGTAGTACTTATTCATGATTAAGAAATAAGTTTTGCTTCAATATTAATACGTACAACGTGCATTTTCCTCGTATACGACAGAAAAAAAAATAAAGAAAATGATACACACTCATCATAAGGTACAAAAAGAATACACTTCCATGAATGACTTATAGCGAACATGCATGAATTAAACTTTCAACATAAAGAATGTTTATTGCTGAAAAACCAAAAAGAAAAAAAAAATCAATATAGAATTCTATGCTGATGTCATAACCTCTGGTTGGACTGCAATTGGGCTTCTGACAGAGAACTTTGCTGATGTCCATGCAGTAAGAGATCCATGAGACAGGGGTACATCAGGTGCTAATGGGGTAAATGTGATTTCATAGGTCTTCTGGTTCACCTCTGAGAAACTCAGTTTACTCGGTTGAACTGTCACATTGACGCCTCCTGGCTGAACAATCTTAACTGTGTAGACTGAATTAGCATCACCAACGTTAGTGACATTCCTTGTATACTCTGAACTTCGGATCCAACTATAATTGAGAATGAAGGATAGTTCAATTGTGTGTCGCGTATTCTTGATTCAGCCGAGCAATTTGCCTTGCGCTGTAGAATTCTGCCAAGTTGCCTGTCCGTATAATTCAAGCCACATAGAAAAGTGGTGTAATCTTTTGGCTCAATGTCATAAATGAGTCCCGGATTGTTGGCTCTCACTGGATTAACATGGCCTGAACCCATGGCAAAAAGGTCGGCTGGAATGTGCTTATAATCTAGAATGGGATCTTGGCAAGGTTGACGAGATCAGTAGTGGTCATCATCGCAGACTTGATTGCAGCTGGAGACCAATTGGGATGTGCACTTTTGAGTAATGCCGCGACACCGCTGAGATGAGGGCAAGACATTGAAGTGCCCGAGAGTACATTGAAGATGGATTTCGTGTTGTTTTGTTCTCAACAGATTGATGATAGGCTGGGAGAACGTTTACACCAGGGCCAATTATGTCAGGTTTCAAGATTCCAGGACTTCCAAAGCTTGGACCTCTGGAAGAAAAGTAAGCAACTGCTGGAGCCTGACTGTCTCCAATGATAGTTCCTTTGAATGAGATTGTAGCCACAGGTGAAGTAGTTGAATTTATGTATGCAATGAGTTTAACTTGATCAACGTAATTTATGTTTGTTGCTGGAAGAACATGAGCATCGGCCTGCGTGGTGTAACCTTCGGCCTCCGAATTGATGATGATCATGCTTACACCACTAGCAGCCTTGACGTTTGTTCCCTTACTTATTGGTGGTATGGCACCAAGTTCACATACTACTATTTTTCCTTTAACTTCTGTGATGTTCTGGAGTGCTTCAGTGCAGTACCGATCAGCATCAATATCACTCTGGTTTAGGCCAGGGTCAAACAGAGGATATGGTGTTGGAGGAAAATCATTGGGCTGATACAGCGACTGGCCATTTAGCTCCTCCTTGTTTCGAAGCACAGCAGTTGCCCTTTATTTCTCTGTCAATAGTGCTTGCACCAACAGTGAGAATCCATGGCACGTCGTTGGACAGAGGGAACAGATAAGGACCATTATTTCCTGCTGAGTAACTCAGGAAGATGCCTTTTTCCATTGCACTATATGCACCAAGAGCAATGTTGTCTTCATGAAATGGTACCCAACTTCCACCAAGGGAGATGGAGAGAATATCATCATCGTCAATAACAACATCCATTGCAGCCAATATATTGCTTTCGGAACAATCATCTGTACCGCATAGTTTGTAGATTGCCAAGTGAGCAAGAGGTGCAACACCGACAGCGGTGCCATTAGCATTTCCAAACACGTTGGCGCCCTTGACAAATTTTCCTGCAGCTGTGCCTGCTGTATGAGTACCATGGCCACTCTCATCAGCTGGAGATCCATTCCCATCGCTGAAGAATCTTGCTCCAATCAATTTGTTATTGCATACTGGGGTGCTGAATTCGCATTTTCCCTTCCATTTAGCAGGTGGTGGAGGCATTCCTTCATCACTAAATGAAGGGTGGTCCAGCTTAATTCCTGTGTCCAGGACTCCAATGATGACGCCCTTTCCATAAATGGACTCTCTCCAAAATCCTGAATTTTGATGCAATCCAAGCAAATTAAGAGTGCGTGTTGTATGCAAAGACAGCATCCTTTGGGGCCGAGCAGAAAGAAAACCAGACCTCTTCTCCATTTCTTTGACATCTTCACCGGATAATTTGGCAGAAAATCCTTTGAAAACATTGTGGTACCTACACACCATTCGTGGTGCTTCATTGGTACTTGCGATTGTTGTTGGCAGAAAGGAATTGTACCAGCTATATAAATCTTCATTTGGGCTTGAAAAACTTTCTGTGGATAGCTGAGTAAAAGATTCAGGTGTCTCAACATGAACAATGTAAGTCTCTAAATTGGCAGAGATTGCCAAAAAATGTAGTCATCGGACCACCTAGCTCAACTTGGTCTCAAATCAAGCTCATCATCTGCAAGATAAGGACTTAAGTCAACCACATTGAAGCATTATCATCTGCAAGATAGCGTGTACACCATACTCATCTGGTAGGTCCAACTTGTAAGCATTATCATTGATGTGCTCCATCACTTGGAAAGGTCCATCACCTTTAGGCAAGAGTTTATTGCATCGTTGTACCGGGAATCTTTCTTTGCGCATCTGAATCCACACCCAATCACCTGACTCAAAAATCATCTTGCGACGACCCTTGTTAGCATTGTGAATAAATTGAAATTCCTTTTCTTAATATTATCTCTTACCTTTTGGTGCAAAGCATGCACTTGTTCAGCTCATTTCAAACCATCCATATTAACTCTCTCAAACACAGGTAAAGGAGATAAGTCTAGAGGTGTGAAAGGGTTAAAACTACAAACAACTTCAAATGATAAGTATTGTGTGGTGCTATGGACTGTGCGACTATAAGCAAATTCAACATGTGGCAAACAATCTTCCCATGATTTAAGATTCCTTGGAATGATAGCATGCAACAAAGTAGAGAGTGTCCTATTAACCACTTTAATTTGACCATCAATTTGAGGGTGACTAGATGTAGAGAACAAGAGTTTAGTTCCTAACTTACTCCATAAAAATTTCCAAAAATAACTAAGGAACTTGACATCTCTATCACTAATAATGGTACGTGGCATTCCATGCAATCTAACAATTTTCCTAAGGACCAAATCAACTACATGTGTAGTATCGTCATTTTTATGACATGAAATGAAATGTGCCATCTTAATGAAATGGTCAATAACCACATAAACAGAATCATGTCCATACCTAGTCCTAGGTAACCCAAATACAAAGTCCATAAAAAGATCAATCCATGGAATACTAGGAATACGTAATGGAAAGGGGTGGAAGGGTTTAAAAAAAAGCATTAAAAAATTTAAAAACTTTGTTCAACATTGAAACCTTATGCCTAATCTTCGATTTTTAAATATATTTCCATAATATTGAGTTTGGTATTCTTCGTTCAAAATAGAAGCTTGCTGAAATAAATTTCTCACACAAGGAGGGCTAGCATCCCTCCCCTATTTACAGGGTTTTACTTTGAAAAAAAAAAAAGAATATGGTTTTGAATGAAATCATAAAATGAGGGAGGAATATCTCCTAGATTAGATCAAGATTGAAAAGAATGCATAAATAATAAACAACTTGTATATAATCATGATTTGGCTTTGACCATTATAGTCATTGTGCTTTTAACCAACATATAACTTATGCGAGCCATAATGGATTATATATATTAGTTGAGCCGAGGAGGCCTAGGCGCAGTATTTATTTAAAGTTGATATTTCAAGAATTAGAGGATTTGAGTTTAATTGTCCTTCACCTTTTCAACTTCTTAAAATCCCGCACCTTTACTTCTAAAGAAAATTTTAAAAAATATGTTGGTTAAAATAGTACTAGTATGTTTTCATTTACTATTGAACTATGAAATATGAATTGAATGTATATACTTGTGGTAAATAGCTTGCTTGTAGACAAATTTCTGCTTTCTAATAAAACCTATACTAACCCATGCCCATCGCTCACTTACATATATGTGCATTAGCGTTTTATAATTTAGTATTCATGCCATTATAGAGATACAACTATTAGAAAATCAATATTATAAATTTGAAGGCCTTGAATTGTGTCAAATACCAAGTAAACATTTATGCATGCCTATTACACATTTAAGAAATATATAAGGAAATTAAAACAGAATTAGGGTAAAAAAATATAGAGTTTGGGGTTTAAAGATAAAATAGGAAGAATTTAAGGGTTGAAGGTGAATTTGATTTCCTTGCTAAAGATCATGATGTGCAGTCTGCATTATCATAATGGTTCACTGAAGGTTCAAAGTCGGACGAATTCCCAAGCCTTGGGTGCAACACTACAATTACCGTGGAAAGTGAGAATTGGAAATTTGTGGGTGCATAATGAAATTAGTCTTTAATTTTCTTCCCAAGTGTGGACTTGTTTGTGATAACCATAGATTGGGATCAAGAATTTTATTATAAATCAATTGACCACGATGGTTTTATTTCTTCACATATTTTTTGAGGGGAAAGCCCCTAATCTTCAATCTTTTTAATAATAGGTTTCCAACCAACATTTCTTTGACTTGATATTACCCACATAGCTTAATTTTGTTATTAGATGTACTTGTTATGTCCAGATCGTAGCATGGTCGCACACCTCTCTC